TATAGTACATAAATCACAATTCAAAATTGTAATATTAGGGGCCTATGTAATATGTGTTCGGTAGACTTTTCAATACTACCAAAGGAAATACACATATCAATGGTGATGTTGGTAGTCCATGAGTAGATACTTACTGTACCTGGATAAGTTTTTTCCTTTTTGTACTCTAGTTTTAAGTTTTCATATAATTTTTATCATGGTATAAACATAGGGTTTACTGAACAGAAAGCTGGCCAAAAAAATATTTAGCAATTTGGTTAATTCAGTATGAAAATAATCAACCAAATAGAATTTGATTAGCCAAAACATAAAAATATACTGTAAGCAATGATAGATTCAATTCCATATTAGCTTTTTGGATATATTTGAATGAAAATATTTAGCAAAATTCAGCTTTTATAAGGATTTGGCTATTTAGCCGAGGACAGCTTAATCACTGGTAAACAAAAAAAAATAAAAATATATTAGGCATTACCGATATGCTTGCTTACACACCTGTACTGTAACTTAGATATGGGCAGACTGACTGCTAGAAATGTATTCATTCAGTGCTTGTTAATTTCCGACAGCTTTTGTAGATGCTAATCAAGTCTAGGTGTTGGGCAGGTGGAAACTGTAGCCTCTAACTTGAGCACAAATCCCACCTCATCAAAGCAACTAATACTAACCTAAATATGCTCAATAATATACTTTACATTTCTTTGTTCCATGTGCACAAAAGGAGGTTTGGAATTCATGAATTTCAGGAGTGGGAGTTTTACATAATGATAAAGTGCTGTAAAGCTACAGTACAGTTTTAGCCTTCCAATCCTACTGTAGGAACCAATATCAAAATCAGAGTTTTGCCTTATCCACCTAAACACTGTAATCTTCAGCAAGCGGCTCATTACTTATTGGATAGACATTGGAAGCTTTATTAAAGACTAGGGTATATTAATAGGTTTTATTAAACCTAATAACATACCCTAGTCTATAATAGAGCTTCCAATGTCTATCCAATAAGTAACGAGCCGCTCACTGTTTGATGAGAAATAATACAGTAATGGTTATCTTTATTTAACACATTCATTTATAGTTATACATTAAAAAAACTCAGTAAACAACAGAATTCACACTACAAATGTTCATATTCAATTACTGGTTGAACCTAGTCCTAGTTCTACTCGCATGCATCGTGTGATGTTCGTTGTTTTACACACTTCTCCATTAGATTCAATTCAAGCATATCAGCTATGAATACTCAATTAACTGGGAGGGCATAACACAGATTCAGTTAAGATTGTTTCAGAGTGAGGAATATGAATAGAAATGATCTCTTTTGAAAAAAAAATGTCAGCGATGATTAATGCTTGTTTCTAAGTAAATATTGTTTTGTAACAATGTTTTTGGAGACTGAAAAGGGATAACAGAAATGAACAAAATATTGTTTTCATGTGGTAAAACTTGAAAAAACTCAATAAAAAGTCCATTTAATTATTGAATTGTTAATTAAAATTTTGTATTTTGTATTAGCTCAGAATATACAGTAATAAAAAAATTTGTCCCAATTACCAAGGTCAGCAGTAGTAGTAGGCCCAATATGAATTTCCCTTCCTTATCACCTTCAACAACATGCCTACAAACAAGATGGAATAAACAGATACTAAATATATTATACACTACTGTGCAATGCTGAACAATATGAGAATTGATTGTTTCCTGCCTACGCTTACAATTACAGTAGACATGTGGTCGATGGTTACGCTAAGGACTGCACTGCAGCTACTACTGATGTCTTGTGACATGAGCCTAATGCACCGCTCTTAGCCTTTGACCAATTGATTTTTTGTCCACCCCCACAGGGTGCAGTAGACACTATGTTGTCGCGCAACAATTGACCTTTCTAACTCCGGTGGAGGTCAAAACTTAGGTCCATAAAAAAAATCATAATGGAGTCATGGTATGGGTGCCAAGACGACACAATAGTCTGAGAGCCGAACACAAAATATTGGTGTCCTTTAACTGCCTGTCTGAACGAAATATAAGGGCCTGTTTCTGCTGAGCAAAAAAACATGTTTTTAAACGGTTATTAAAAAACATGTGTTTTTTCCCCCAGTAGAAACGGCCACAAAACTAAAACACGGTTAGGAATGTGTTCTAAAAATGCGTGTTATTACACACATTTGTTATAGGGCTCGTGTTCAGAAAACGCGTGTTTTGTGGTACACTTTTCAGCTGCAACGCAATACCGTGTTAGTCATGACCCGTTGGTGACCCAAATTAACCTCTTCGTTGGTTTGATCACTCGTCCATGGGAAATTCGGGGCGAAGAAAAAAATTTTAACCAATAGGATGACATGCTTGAAGATCATACCATGCTTGAAGATCATACCATACTTTCATGGTGTGTTGTTTATTTCTTTCGCAGCATGCGCTATAGCTCGCAAGAACTTAACCGTTTATAAAAAAATGTGTTTTTGGTGTTATCCAGCAGAAACACGCCCTTTCATCTCAAATAAATACAAATAAGATACAATAACACAACTAGACTAAATGTAGGCAAAAAAAAAAAAAGAGAATGCCGAAAAAGGAAACATAGAAAATGCTGTAGATCACTGACACTTTTCTTTTCATATTTACTGGTTTTGTCATTTCCTGTAAGACAAGGCATTGGACTAGACCTTCATGATCTTATTCAAGGTCATTACTTTTTTGAAGGTCATTTAACACCTACAGTAACCATTCTTGTCCATCAGCTTTCTAAAACCACTAAACTGGCCAACAGAGTATAACTATACAGTAATTTTTTTTAATCACCAATTAGCAAATTATTATAACTAATTTCACATTGTGCATGGAATCAAACTTTCATTACAGAGCATTAGTTATTAATTTAAGAAATTAAGAAATAGTAATTACAATATCTGGTAATGCTATGACAGTACAAAATAGGCTATGCTTGTTTCGTTTTCATGAATCATATTCAATAAACTTGTGCATTTTCTTTTTTATTAGAATTTATCCCACTTATACTAGTAATCACTTAAACGGAAATTTGACAGGCCTAAAGTACATTATATCTCACATTTTAGTGCATTTAGCTTTGGATTTAAGCCTGAGAAGATGTAAAATGGTTTGTTTATTTGTTTAATAATACCGATAATCAGCATATTTTTTACTATAGTATTAGTACAAACTCCAGGTTTCTTTTGTTTAAATTAAATACAGTATACCAGCTCAGAGTTACAATATTGAAACATTAAAGGGAGCAAGGGATCAGTGGGATTACGATCTTTGCAATACAATATTCCTGCAGATGGCAGAATAATTACTGTAGTGTGTGTAACCTCAACAGGATCAGAATTTCAGGGGTTATCTCCTTACCTTTAGGGTCAGACTAAAAAACGTTGCATCATACGAATACTGAACTATGTTTTTTGTTGGTGTGTACAGTTGAGGCATTTTTACACCTGTTTTGAGCAAACTTGGTTTGGTAAGATATTCAACAAGGAAAACATACAGGTTAACATTTTGTCAATCAGATTGATATTAAAATCTTATTTATTTTTGTGAGGAAGATTTCTTATAGAGAAAATTTCATGGCAAAGCTACAGTAGGTATGCCATGACGGCCAAAAATAAAATTTTATAAATATTTATTGGTTAGTGATAGGCTTGCGGAAGATAGTCTATTAATAAAAGTCATGCCTAATCTAATCAACTAATAAACAGCAACAGAAAAATAATTACATTGAAATTTACTTTTCGTTTTAGTAAACACTGATATAAATCACTACCATAAAACTATTCTTAGTAATAAACACTTCACTTTCAATGGTACAGTTGTAAAAATAATCATAGCTATACACAGGATAATATGTAGTACCTGTATCAGTAGTAGTTTGCTGAATTATAGGCTATTGTAGGCCTATTATGTTACTAATATACTGTGTGTATTATGTTACTGTGGGCCTGTGAAAATCAATTTTTATACATGCAGCACATGTTTCCTAAAATCACTGTGCATATAAGTCAAGTGAGAGATCTTGAATGCTGATTCTCATCATAATACATATTGTCCATTATGACGAGGTTTTGTGTATTACCCATGGGTTTCTACAAATCTCAATAACACATATAAAATGGCAAAATCTCCATCACCCATTATTCGCATCTCATAACAGCTCAAATCAAAACCCTTGAGAGAGAGCTTATAATTAGAATTTTACATGAACGTTCTGGATGGTGGATATTGTAAATCACGCATGGACTGGTGCTGTAGTTGAGTAGTCAGGGTCCTCGCCTTCACCAGTGTCCCGTGTTCAAATTCTACAATTTAATTTTTTTAATTGATTAATTAATTTACTCAGTGTTTCTATGCAACCACAATATCAATGATCAGAATGGCAATTTTATATTTCTATTGGCAGTAAACAAATAATCCTAAATTACAATCAATTAAATGTCCGCAAATAGCAAAATACAAATAGTAGAAAGCTAACTCCATGCTTACAAGTGGAAAGGTGTCAATGAGGATGATATCAACAAAATACTTGAAGATTGATCAGAACCATATTTAAACAATTAATCAAATGGATCTTTGAACTGTCCAATATCATTATTCACAATCTTGTCAATCAAATTTCTCAAGTGTTTTTACAATGTTTAAAAGTGAAACTATATAGGTGGGTAGACTATAGCAATCACCTGTATTGTGCATTATCTGTGTAAACAACAGCTTCATCAAACAGGGCCTATTGACAGACAACATATTCATATCTAGGCAGACAATACCCTTTAAAATTTTGGCGGTAGATTGTACAGGATAAGAAGCCAACACGGTACTGTATTTAAAATTGTACCCACAATCCTCTGTTACCATGGTTTGCATTTTATGTAATCACACTACGGGAATCCAGACATGTACGTACTTGAAAAAGAGAACGATTTGCTTACCTGGTGTGGCATCAAGCATGAGGTATCAATTCCTGAGTTTAAAAATTTATTTTAAAAAAAGGATACATTTTAACAATTCCACCTTTGGTACCCAATGCAAGAAGCTTTAGTTGAGGATCATATGCGATTGCTGTTGGTTTATTTGGAAACCCATGTTCCACTGTCTGAAAAGAAATGAGAAATAATTTGATTTTAAGTCATAAAATGAAATACACTTAAATTTTAGAAAGCACAGATTTTACCAAGAGGTAACCCAGAGTGAAAGGCAGGATAACAACTAAAGTATCCAAATGTGCGCCTACTTGTAAATAGATTTTACAAGTGAAATATACAAAACAAGATGATAGACTATTTATTAACTTATCGTTCAGAAGATTAATTAGTAATGACTTAAAACAACCTTACAAAACCTCAGCTATTTCAAATATCTAACAGACTCACTCAAAAATTGACCCAATTTTTCAGTCATTTGTCACCAAAGAACATGCTATTATTAAGCTATCAACTATAGGAATGAAATTCGGTCAGGGATTACCATATTTGGAACAAGATGGTAGAAGGTGTGTTACCACAGGTGTTTTGATGAAAACCTACCAACTGTAAGCCTACAAAATATGGTTAAACAATGACAGCAACGAACAGATACACATTGATGAAAAATTTCAATTATTTCCTACATGTCACTCTACAACAATAAAAGAAGTGTTGCATTTTATTTTATTATTTTATTTCATATTTATTTTTTTGGTTTGTGATGTTTTAACAGAATACGATTCAATTAATTATTCACCACTAATGCCATCAATAATTCGACTTTGATTTATTCTTAAATTGTTACAGAATTACCATAAAATCCCTTACCATCCATTAGGCCTAAATCAAATTTCATGTGTACTGTAATTCAATTGTTTAATAATAATCAAGATGATAGTCTTAATTATTTATTCATTAAAATGATTGATAACATAGGGAAGTTGTTCATTACTAGGCCTAATGCTATTAAAAAAGTTAAAATGCCCTAAGGCATGGTACTCATTTAACAACAACACTGACTAGTACTACAGTAGATACTACAGAAAATAACCATAAAATACAATAACAATTTTGATGTGCACACCTGCCGTAAGCGTGTTTTTGCAAGGAATTTTGCATGTTTTTACAATATCCTAGCTCCATGCTTAAATTGAAGCCTGGAAAAAAAAGATCATTAAAAAAGCAGTGTAAAATTTTAGGCCTAGGCAAGCCTACGATTGATACTTGGTACTTGGTATGTGCATCCTCCAAAAGATCTCATGCAGGAATTTAGACCTAGGGCCTAGATTGGATGTTCGATGATGATGATGGAAGATGAAAAAAATTAGGTTTCTACATAGCCTAGCCCAGGGGTAGGAGGCCTAGGCCTAGGGCCTAGCAATACAACGAGTATGTGTATGCACTGGTGATGGCCCTTATCTTCAAATTTACTTTCCTAGGCTTCGACTGAAGTCCCACTCCAGGCCAAGCATATGCCCTCTTGACTCTTGCCGTGAAAAACCGATGCGGCGGATTGACGTGATGGCTGGAGCTTGCTGTTGGCCTAGGCCTAGCATCCGGCCTACCCTAAAGAGCACTAAATGACAAATTCCTAGCCTAAGTATATTATGAAACTCACCTTATTAAAGGCGAATATTTCCTTCTTCTGTCTTTCTCTTTCAGCACTTGTATGTCCACCTCCTTTTCTTTTAAAAAGATTTCGAACTTTCGATGCAGCAGACATGGTTATCTCCTTGGTTTATCAACTTTCAGGTGAAATCTTTCTCGTACACATCCAACAATTATTCACGAAAAAAAGTATATTGGTAAATGAATTCCTGTGTAGTAGAATTAATACAAGAAAGTAAATATCCTGTTCTTGTAAGATAATAAAAACTCAAAATAACAAATTGACTAGCTTTAGCCTAAGCCTACTGTGTGAACTGAAAATAAGGCAGCAGGTAGCGGAACACGCCTATTTTTCTGGATAAAACACCGGTATTTACCGGCGCATCGTACACTTACCACGGCCAGCCTGAGATAGCAATCTGATATTCATTCACGGTACGCCAACAACTTGTACACGAATATTATGGAAATCAAGCGCCAACCAAAATGCATGACCCACATTGGGTAATCATTGGAAGAATTATATCAATATCCATCCGCGATATTTCTTGAAATTTCACCGTTATTAAAAACTAGCACCGTATTGTATCGCTCATGCATGCATCAAAATGTTAATACAAATCAGTTTGATCAATATTATTCATATAAAATGTGTATGTTAACTAAATATTTCTGTGCTCGTATTTAGCCGCATCACTCATTGTGCACATCCGCACAAGGTGTGACCCTAAGTACTATTTGGCGAAGCATACATTAGATGAATAAATACCGATCCGTCTATTAAAATAAAATATTTTTTGTTTGTAAATGTCGATTAGATGTGCACATTCAATGTATGCCACATCCCTACCTTTTTAGAGGTGTTAGTCATGTATAAGTGATGTCATCCTCATCGTCATCGTCATTATTCATCATCATCATCATCATCATCATCATCATCATCATCATCAGAAAAGGCTTTTTTAATTTTATGATACTTTGGGGCATAGATATATAACTATAGGGCCTCAATGCGATGCAGAAAAATATTTAAATATACGATACAATAATAAGTAGGCCTAGGAAATAGTTCATCATCATCATCATCATCATCATCTCACCATCATCATCATACAAGATACAAACTTTTATTGTCATTATCATCACCACCACCACCACCACCATCATCACAAACATGAGAACATAGTATTTTATGATAGTTCGGGCATATAGATATATAAATATAGGGCCTCAGTGCGATGCAGACAAATATGTAAAAATCCTATACGATACAACAATAGTTAAAAACCAATAAATAGTTTTCCCTAAGACAAATATTCCAATAATAAAAGAGAAAAACGATTAAGCACATATGTACATGTAAATTTAATATTTTGTTTTTATAAAATTAGTCTTGTCCTACTTCTTCACGGGCATAGTTTCGTATGTGTACTGTTCACTCATTTTTTCCCATTCATTTTCTTTTTAATTTCATTCTTGTTGTACCATGGAGCAAATTCTGTGTCTGACAAATAATAACAATGATAACGTATATTTTGTAACACATTAATCAATAGGCATATAAAGACATTAATATTAAATGATGGTAAGCCTGTGTTTTTAGTATTGAACCTGCCTTATAGTTAGTAGGCCTATATGTGTAGGCCTATATGTGTAGGCCTAATAGAAAAAATAATAAAAATTATTATTATTATTATTATTATTATTATTATTATTATTATTATTATGACTATTATCACTGGTTTACTTTCAAGATGCGGTTATCTCACTGCATGGTATAGTCCTAGAAAATGTATCAATAATAGGCCTATTGAATTGCGATCTACTTGACCAGGTCAGTCATTCTGAAAACATTGTTACTTCGACTCCTGATTTTATAAAAATCAACAGAAAACTTACCTTCGATAAATAATATAGACCTCCTCCACAAAAATATTAGTTTATATGAAAAGACATAAATTTTACCGGAATTGTGGGACCGTCAGTTGGAGTAAGTAAAGGACGCGCTTTGTGAATATCGTCTGGATTTTGACAAACAAAAGATTTCAAAACTCTTTGTCTCTATGTTTGGATACAGCTCACCGAATATTTACCATGCAGACAAAGAGCATTTGGACCTGATGGACTGTTTTTAAAATTCTGGTGAATGATAAAAGCATAGGTTCGATCGATCGTGGGGTTGACGGAAAGAATCGAGGCCTACAAACCTTATTAGTAGGCCTATTACAAACAAATAATGTAATTTAGGCTGTGCTACATCTGTTACAATAGTCTACATCAAGCAGCACTTATTTAATGAGACTAATACTCTCCGAATAATCACATAGAAAAAAATGGAGATTTTTTATTTAATAATAGGCGTATACTACGGTTTATACTTGTGACTCGAAGTAGACCTATATAATATCATTATTTTTATTGCATTTATTGGGCAGTGTTGTCGCAGAAATTAATTTTTCCCTGAATCGGGCGGCACACAGACATGATGTCCATTAATTGACTCCAGTTCTTCAAATGTGTAAATCAAAAATTAAATAGCCTAGTAATAATTTAGATTAGCTTAAAATAACTTCAAGAGAGCTAAAAAAAATTGCAAAGGACCCCTATTTTATGAGATCGTTTGTGAGGGCAGAACGCATGTGACTAACGGTAAAACGGATTGTTTACATTGTGTCTGCCACAAGATAAACATGTTTATCTATTTGTACAAAATGGAGATTAAAAGTTAACGGTTTAAAACCGTTAGATTGTGTAAAACGTCAAACTACTATTTTTTTTCAAACGACATTGCGCTTTATACCCCAGTCATAGGCTAGGCCTGATCTTGTTTGTAAATGCTTTCTCGACCCTCTGCTACACAATATTACCTAAAATTAATGTTCGATCGTTAAAACAGTTGATTTTCTAAGCCTACATCTGGACTTAGACTGACAGAAGTCCTTGTGGTTCATAACTCCCTCCAACTCTGGGGTTGATGACTTTGCAATTTGCAGAATATGGCGCCTCGGGATGTCATGAAAACTCCACCCTCGACTGTGTCTTTCTAACATGAATTAAAAATAAAATTGAATTGAGTATTTTTTTTTTTCAAGTTTTCGGCAGTCGTCTGCGACTTATAGATATAATGCGAGTTTCGATGGCCGATCGGAATTTACGAAAAAAATTAACACATTACTGTACTGGAAACTGAACATCGAAAGCAAACATTGATATCACTCGATGACAATTATGAATGCACAATAGTAGACAATTATGTTACGAACCGTTTGAGGAGATTGGTCACACAAATATGTTATGAACGAGAAGAGTTCCTCGTCCATGGCATCCTAAACGGTTTACTTTTGCGTTTGGTCGCCAATAGGTACGGTAAGGAAAAGGTGAGTTACCACCTACAGATGTTTGAAAATAGGAAGGTTTAGGTCTACATAAAATTAGAAAACTAATTTTAATAAAACATTCAATTGTTCATTAATGAAAATTAATCTATTGATAAAAAAATTTTATGAACACCCACTTCATGGAATAATGCATCTGCCAGAAAGTCCAAATCTTTTAAAACCATATTGGTGGCGCCCTATACATTTTTTCATTTCAGACACATTAATTCCGGAGTGTCAATGATCTATCAAAAAACGAAACAGTTCACAGATTAACTTTTTAGTATGGATTGTTATATAGTAATTACCAACCAAAAATAAATAACATAATTAGAAATCACCACGGAAACAAAACAGAGAAACAATTTGTTGCTTGAGGAATGTCTCTTTTAATCTAATTTTACCCTGAAGCACAATTTCAATTCATAATATTAAATTGAAAACTAGTATAAAAACATTTTTTTTCTCTAATTTTATATGATGTTGGCAAAGGCAAGCTCATTATTATCCAATCTATTTACTAATGCATTTAAAATATCTTATAAAATCTTATTTACATTATTTGTACAAATTTATGTACATTTCCTTAAAATATTCACCCAAGAGTGCAGATAAGAAACCTAGTGAGGTTCTAAACCACCTCAATTCAATTAAAATTAAATAAGGCCACTTAAATTACCGTAAACTTAGGAAGTACTTGTTATAAGAATTCCTTCCAGAATGTAAATTAACATTAAAATGCAAGGTCACATCAAAACAAATAATTACAGGCATTTCATAGCTTTAACAGACACATTAGAACAAAAACATTACATTCCTTCATTTGGGCATTCCATAGCTTTCTAATTCTATTTCCTCTAAAATTCCCATTTACATACTGGCTTAAGGCACATACCAGCAACTTGGAATTTAAGAAAACAAAACAAAATATATTTAACTAAATACACATGCACAGAAACACATTACCTTGCTTAATACAACTAAACTGAGTACACTCTAAACATAAACCATCCTGAATTATTTCTTTTTTTAAAGAATCTTTGGTTTGTAAATAAAACTTAGGATTCATTAAAAAAAAAAAGAATAAAGATAATGTTTGCTTTGGAAGAGTCACCAATAATAAATAATATAAAGTTACATAATGATATGGATGAAATTTAAATCAACAGTTTCAAATGAAATGCGAAGTGGTTAATCATATCAAGGTGTGTTGAAATGTTCAAGTGCTTTTTTGATTAATTAAACTGTTTGTTGAATAGTTTTCACTAATAAATATTAATATCAGCACACATACAAAATAAAGTACCTTTCATTAACACTTGCCACAGTAGCCAATCATAAGACACCTTTAAAATATTATATTTCTGGAATGATTATCAGGTGACAGGGAAAATTTAGCACATTAAGCAAAGTTATGTAATCAGAATTCATTATCTTAATATTTGTTCTCTCAGTGAATATATTTACTTTTTTTTTTTCATTTAAAAAAAATTTTGATTTAAGATATCATGATTGTCCTTATACAACAATCATTAGTGTGTCAAAATGGTTTTAATGACAGATTATTTATCTATAAATATTGAAATAATGCTCATTAAACTATCAATTTGTATGTAGAAAATATCCATGATTTGCCCATGAATATATGATATCATTATGCCCATATATGGGTGTATTATGACATCATTATGTCCAATCACATGAACTTTGAGATTTGAATATTCATTGAAAACATTTGGATTGTAATTTTGTTTTAAAATTTCTAATCAATTTGATATATAAAATATATTATTAGGAACATTCCTTTTAAAAAGATACCATTTATAATATCTGAATAAAAATGTATAAAATTACATTCTCATTTTCTAAATATTTTACAGAAAGTGTATTAAATGGTATTTCTATTAGCTCTTTTCATACATAATAAGGCAGAATTATGCTATAGGAAATATGAAAAATACCTTTTATATCAGGCAAAAATACTGATTTAAAACTATTCCAGATTTCCATGACAACATGGTGGAGTATCCCAATCTTTAAATACTAGGTGAAAGAAGAGATCCTATCTGACCCAGTTTACACTACAATAAAAAAGTTTAATTCAATTTTGATTCATTTGCTATTAAATTTTTTTTCAGTTTTATAAGGTACATTCATCTAAACCTTCAAAAAAAAAAGTCTCAACTGGATTGCATCTTCATTTGTTGTCACAATTTACACTACAATATTAGAAAAAATGGTCTACATTCCAAAAAGTTGTATTTCTAGTACAATTTCGACCTTGCTTACACTACCAAACAGTTGTGATTCGATCACAGCACGCTTGTTGTTGAATTTGGCGTAAACTGGTACGCCTATACGTCAACTACATCTTCAGTCAAATATTATAATGAGGCTTATGAGCAATAAATTAAATTTGATTTGACATGCCCATAATCAAAGTGTTGGTTTCTTAGGTACAAATAGTATGGCTAATTAATATCAATATATTCATTACCGCTATTCCTATCCATCACAACGGCTGTGGCTGTAATAGTTTAAATAATCAAAGACTTAAATTAGCTTATAGAAGTAATCATCATAGACACAATTTAATTTTTGCAAATTTTTTGTCATATTCAAAGTTGTACATATTATAATCTTAAAATTCATATGTAGTGTACAGATTGTTTACACCAACATTTTTAATTATATTTTTCACTTACATTTTACCTAGTGAAATCTCCCTTCTTATATCTTTTCAGTTAGTCAATATACATTTTGTTAGCACACATGAATTCATTTTCAACAAATTTGTTGCATGATGAATGTTACATCACATACATTTGGATGTAGGATCATTTGAAAATATAAATAAGAAAGCTGTTTCGCATTTTCTGCAGCAAGGTAAGTTACAATAATATACTCTAAACAGCATGAGTTCCTACTTTCTTGTACAGGGATATTTGCTTTTTACTTTTAACCCACATCGGTTTTAAGGCAAATTAAAGCCGGCTAAAAGTTCAGAAAGTGTTACAATGGTGGCCTATGATCATATTTTTTTTTCTGTGCCATGTCAAACCACCTTAGCATCATTACTGTCTATAAACAGCCTACAACAATCTTCCAAAATTCTCATCCTCAAGGTAGTGAACAAAATATTTGGTTAGATTTGCAATCTGTCGGTGTCAAGTGTTATCTGACAGCCTGTTATACAGAAGTTAAAAAACTAGAATCTATTCACTACAAACTTATGATTAAACGTCATGATGATTGCGAAGCACTGCTCGAAGGCCTAGGTTGGATTTCTAGCAGGGATGGATTGTGTTCTAAAATTCTTGTCAAGATGTGTCCAATGTATTCGCGCAATTCTATAGAAATCTTTTCTTCATCACGTAAAGCCTGCATTATCTGAAACAAATATGGAAGTTACACAGATTATATTTTTATTCGTTCTCTCCTTATAGCAAGTGGATTTCCACAAAGTATGGAAATGATACTCTAGAAATTAAAGTCAAACAAACTGCTCCATTGTAACTAAGCCAGTAAATATTACTAGAAAAAAACAAGGAAAATTGATAGCTTGTTATTTTCGGAGTGGAATAGAAAAAGACAGATCACCCCTAGAGCTGACCGAATGTGGTTAAACATGACAACTGGAGCGAAGGCTGCATTTACATTTTTTTTTATTCAACTTTATTTACCGACAGCGGTTGCTGACAATCATGGGCACTCACATAAAAACATTACAGTTCATAAAATTGCAACAATCACAAAAGCATTTGCATGAGCGTGTTTTGGCTACTAAGAGATTATTGAACATAATTAATCAAATTCTTATTAAAATTTGAAGAAAATCAAGTGTGTTGTTATTTCTGTATTCAAACTGACTGCATTCACATTACACAAAAGGAATACATCTGCTTTAATATATAACTTAACAGAAAGTTCATTGAAGGCTGTGTTAATCAAGTTGTGTACTCACATCATCTTTGGAAGCTGTCTCAATCTCAGCTGCAAAAGAGGCTGACTTAGACACTCCACGATGCAACAGGCTCGGTCCAAATGTAACCCGTGTGTTGATCATCTGAGCACTTAACTCATCATTGCTCTCTTGTAAAAGAGCATTCTCCTGAAAAAAATTATGTAATCTTTGGTTAAATTAGAACCAAATAAATAGTTTTATGACAAAAAAAAATAGACAACCAAATGATCAGCTTTTAGAAAGTTGAGAATGAAGGTTATAATAACAGTGAATGCTTTCAGCATATATTGTACATTACTTAAATCATAAGTGGTGTTGTTTGTCTACAAGTGGGATACTTACACTTAGATAAACAGACAAGAAATTGTCAACTTTTGTTGAAAACAAACCCTAAAAGATAATGAAATATATGGATTAAACTTGATAGAGTGGTCAGAGCTTTAGCATACCTGTTTCACTTGCTTGAACTGTATATCCAATTCTTGTAATCTACCAGGCATGTCCAGCAGGCTGGGTGTTCTCAGCAAATTCATCTGTTGATTCTCCTCACGATATTGGCGCAACTCTTCCAGTTCTCCATTCATCTCTTCAATCAGCTAAAGGGTAAAAAAATCACATTCAACTTAAAAAAATGGATTCATTTTGCTAAGCCCCTAAACCAGATGTAGCTACGGTCCCACAAAGTTCTCACAAAACACATGCATTTGTGGGACAAAATGTGTTTCTGGTATTTTAACTGGTCAGGTGTTAAGTATGATTGGAACTCCAGAAAGCTCTATTGAAGAACAAGACAATCTCCATAGAATTTAATAATTCATATTATATACATACAATATGATACATTTTCTTTATTGATATAATTTAACATAGTAGAAATATTAAATAGCATTTGTAGTGATTAACTACTCACCACAGCATTTGTTGCGAGTTCTTCCTCCAGTTCTTCCTTCTCAATTTTGTACTGCTGTTGTTGGCGTTGGTACTCGCTTGACAATGAAAACCACTTGTCGTCTGCCTCTCGAAATGCCTTCATCAGACGATCACGTTCCTTACGTAAACTTTCGTTCTCTTTCTTTAACCTCGGAATGTCACCAAGAAAATCCTGTTTCTCATCTTCCATCTCGGTGATTCTATGAAAGAAAATATTTTATTTAGAATAATTCTTCAAATACAAATCAGACCTCTGCAAAAGTTAAGGTTTCTATGAGAACTCATCACCAATGAAAAAATGATAAATACAGACCTGGTCTGTTGTACAGAATAAGCATTATCATGGATGGATAGATTTATTCACTGTAAACACCAAGGATAACCCACAAAAGTCTGAAGAAGGCTTATTTTCAGTGAGGTCCTTCTGGTGGTGATTGGGCAGTGCCCCGGGAGACAATCCCCTACTCTTTTCCGAATAGTGTACTGCGTTCTTTAATGTGCACACAGGCCATAATGCACACAGGACCAACGGCTTAAACATCTCATCCAAAAGACAGTGCACTATCACAACTTGTATTTCAGCCCTCCAGCTGAAACACAAGGAGAGCAGCGATTGGAATTGAACCGGGGACATAGACATCTCCACGGTTGAGTGCACACAAAGTAGCCAGTCTAGCTGAATGAGCTAAGCTGCTCTCCTAAAACAAATGCTCATCATCAAGACAAGTTGTAGTAGAATTCACCAGACAGTCAAAACACAGGTCCTACTATTCTTCCTTTTGTCTAACATCAAAAAAGAATCTCAGACACAAAGAAGACAACAAATAATTATACATCAGACTACTTACTGGTTTTGAAGGCTGTCTATTTCAGCTCTCATCTCCTTTTCTTGTCTATTCTGTAAATCATAAATGACAGTTGATAATTATCGTATCTAATCAATGAATGCAACAAATTTAATCTTCACAACCATCTCCACCAAAATTCCATCCTTGGAGATAGGATAACAACCATTTTGGACATATTTGTAAAATGGTAATATGTTTGAAAGAGAATATACAAATTCCTAAATTAATTATACGGAACCTAAGTCAACTTCTGTCAGTCAGTGGTAGTTACTGCTTCTTTATTAATATTTAATTAATGCATTTTCAAATAATCCAATTACATTCAATAAAATTTCTAAAAGTAATACAATGCCATGGGAGCAGTTGATACACCATTTGTGATTTAATCTACTTAACCATGGGGTCAGAGGTTTAAATTTGCGGCGTGAATTTCACTTTTTTTCAATTTATGCAAAGCGCTTTACGTATGATTGTCTATCCTAGGAGCACATGAGGGAAACTGGTATGCTGGAATGTTATTGTACTGCTAACTAGTTTCAATATTATAGAATTAAACATAAATTAGACATTTAAAGCTTGCTCCCTAATCTTTGTTAATTTCCTCGACTCGCAATAACTCACATTGACTCATGTATAATTCAATAATATTATATACCATAGCTTCTTTATGCCTGCTCTTTTCCTCTTGTATTCTTTCCTCCAACTTCGTGTCTGCCTCTCTGAGCTGTTCTTCCATCTGGTTTAGTTGTTCCATCAGGTGGGTGTTCTCTGCACGCAACTTCTGTACGTGATCATCACCAGATGCCTTATCCTCTTCCAGATCAACAACTTGATTCTCCAATTGTTTGACCTGAAAGTAAACATGTCAAAAATGTTAAGAACTGGACGCATTTCAGGCCCGTAAGAAGGTTCACAGGAAGGAGGGTTTTCTCAGTCAAGTTTAACTCAAAAGTGTTTCTTTAATAAAGAAGGTTATGATAAAATACTACTACCGTAGTAAATTTGTTAAAAAGGGATTTTGGCTGAACCCCCTAAAAACACCTGGTTATGGACCTGCATTTGTTTAAGTTAACCTAAAGCAGGTCTCCCTCTAATTAAAGACCCTTCCCCCACCACAATTAAATGCCAATTTCACTTAAAGACCACTTTTCTGCAGCCCTAAGTGAATGGCTATCTTTATTATTTTTGGGTCCGCGCAAGGCACTAACCCCAGAGCCTCAATGCTGTTCTTGTTACCAAAATGTTAAAAGCGCTAGTTTTGAAGGAACGTGCAGGAAATTTTGTACACCTAAACTAGAGGAGATTTCCAATGAATGTTTCCAAATAAACATCCTAATTATTTACAAATTTCTATCTTATTAGCTCTTCCAAAAACCCCAATATAATAACTTGCGCCTGTACCGTATTTAAGCGTCGAGGAATGCACGGAACGGTGAGCGGTCGCCCTTGTTATATATAAAATTATTTTCCTAAATAAAAACCACAGCTGCCCATGAAATAAATTGGACCTGCAGGTGGTCTTTAATTGGAAGAAGAGTTGTAACCTAATAATATTGCAGGAAGGTGGATTAGTGTAGAAATATGACACATTTTAATATCCTTAATAAAAACAGATAATCAAATTTAATAACCAACCTAATTACTGAGAATGATTAACAGTTAAAACTAAAGTGTTGATCATGGACTATTAAACAACAATAAGTGGCATAGCTTCAACATATAGAACCAAAACTACCAGTAATTCTTTGAAATCTTCTGCCCCCCACCCTCCTCACTAGAGAATGATTATATAATTACCATAAAACATTATCATTATTATATATTTATTACCTTGTCACTGAGTTCTAGGACATCGCTTTCTGAGGCTGCATAGTCCCCAAGGCAGTCGGACATACTTCCAAAGTCATTTGATATGTTGTTTGACGAAGAAGATCGGTACAACTGACTAAAATATCAAAGGGACAAAAAAATCTACAGTTGAGATTCTATTTAATAACAATTTAACGTAATACTGAACTGTTAAGTTCAATTGCATATTCATAATTTGTTTTTTTCCCACAGGTAAAGAGTCTGGTAGGCAAATAAGGAGCATGTCCAGGTCCAAGATGCCTACTAGATACCATATAATTTGTTTAGAAAGTGTTTACAAAAAAATAAATATGCACCTGCTTTTTAAAAGATAGCAACTATAAAAGAAAAAGAACAAATAGAAGTAAAAATTGACTCTGTATGGCCAGATTGTCCAAAACAGATAAAAAAATTATGGTTCCCTTCAATTTCTCATCCTAGAAAATTTTTTTCTGCTTTCTATAATGTTAGGAATCAGTAATCAAATATTTAAAAAAAAAAGGCTACAATCATTATGGAGGCCAAAGTAATTCTTGACAAACCTTACCTGGCAAATTCATTGGAAGTAACTCTTCTTGCGCTAAATAAAAAGAAAAGTAAATAGAGTAAAACATTAGCCTTTACAGGACAACATTAGTATTTATTCAATTTTATCATAAATTTAGTTATTATCTATTCCTAAATACTATTAACAAGTAGTTGGTGCATTATTACCAAGGAAATACTGTTGTGTAAATTGTCACTGATTCAAAGTTACAAACAGCATAAAGTTTAGCTCTGTTGAGTTTAATGTGACAAATATATTTGTCATGATAATGGGCATGTCACGATGATGTCATATCACATCCATATATGGGCAAATCAGATGTATTTACTGCCTCTTGCAGTTCTTTAACATAGTCGGTTATTATATATTTACAATATTATAAAATTTGATAGAGTGTACACAGCTTGTATTTAGCCATATTCCTAGTGTTGTATCTCAATATATTGCGTGTCATACACAGTGGCGGCTCTAGGATATATTTTCTGGGGGGAGCTAAGTTGTTCAACAGGGGGACTTGAGCTCGTAGGCTTGAGCTGGGGGAAGGGGTTGGGAGGGTGTTCCCCCTCCCAAATGAGATTTTTTTTAAAGAATATCAACCTCTAGATGGCCGAAAATGGCACTCTCAGGCTTTGACAGACATGTGTTGGCTTGTTGTGGGCCTATTTTTATATGTTTTATGGTCTGACTGGCCGACGAGCTCTGTCCGACAGGAGGGGGGGTTTGACCTGTCCGGTGGGGGGGCTTAAGTTTCAATCTCTTTGATCATAATATTGTTCAAATTTGAATATTGTATTATTAGCAATAACCATGTAATCACAAAAACAATATAAATTCAGTGAGATATAAAAGGTAGCGTAATAAAAACAATGATACTGAAAACATAATAAAATATCAAATTATATTTTTTAAACAACTTGTGTTATGTTACAAAGTACGTATATATTTCTAGTACCAATAGGAAAACAAAGGTGCTGCCAAGTAGAACATATTATATTTTTGTGCAGAATTAATTAAAAATGTTACTTTTCGAAAATTATAAATCATATCCACATTGTGTTAGTTGAAATATAAGGTGTGTTACAAAAGAAACTGTAGTGTTCCCATGATGCCTTGCGGTAGTGAAATAAATTAGGCGGCCATCGCCATGTTAATACCAACTTAACATCTCGCACAAATAAAAGAAAATTACTATTATGCTGTGAATAAATTTCAATCAATTTAATAATGAAACTAATTTTACTATCAATGGATGATTTGAAGGTTATGAAGCGAGATAGAACTTGCACTAGCTGATAAGTGTAATTATGATGAATACTGTACTAAGTTTCTATTCATGTCAATTATAATAGTGTCTGTAGCTAATAGCCTATTCAGACCAACATCACATTTCTATCCGTTGTAGCAACTACGACACCCAATCGCACCCAATTCACAATTGCTTGTGAAAGCTCACCAATAGTATTTGGGTTGGGACTTCATCGCAACAGATTCCAACAGAGTGTAATCTGAATAGGGTATTAGCTCAATCCCTTTGATAAAGTGAACCCCCAGACTCGCCTTCCCTTTGCTTTAAAAACACTACAAATGATGAAATTCATTATTTATGGTAAGTGTTTTTAGCGACAGGATGTTTTGCACTGACTCTCATATGAGCTCATCTCTTAGACCCACCCAAGTGATAGGCCCCTAGTAAACCCTGGATTTGAAATAATATCCCATAAAGAATCATGGTTACAGGCCTGGCAATCTTTATATCAACTCCAATTTATTGCAAACATAAATTTATTAGTTATGTTTCTTGCTACAAGTAAAGAAATATTGAAGATAATGATACTATTGTACTATATGTCACTAGCACAAATAATGAAGTTTTAAAAGAAAAATTATAATGATCATTCACTTTAAAAATAAATTCACAGTTTTATTTGCTATTAAACTAGAAAAACGATACAAAACTCATAAACAAAAACAAATTACACGATCATTGCAATCAATTTACAATTTGCATACAGACAACCTCACATAATATAATATATTCAGTAAATGGCGAAGAATGAGATGAATATTCTACAATAAATATGGAAGGCCACATTAATCTATATTCAAAAAATAAATACAAAAGCATACTGTAACGATGACACTCAATTTCGAATAACAATTGAATAATATTTGACATGGTGACTATACCATTATCAAAGAGGTATACAGAAAACAGAATATTTTAGAAAGCAATAGCAGTTAGCAATGCATAGCAACAGATGCCCAACATTTAGCTAGTACCATACTAACAAACACACACATTTGTGCACAAAACCCAATAACAACCGCTAAAAGATTTACCGAAGACTAGAGTATTGGCGACTTCCACGGTTGAAGTTTCTAGAAATTTAAAAATTCATGCTCTGGGTTAATTCTGACAGGCAACAAAAAAACGTAGAGACAAAATACATACAAATGTTTTCAGTATTCAGATACAAGAACCTGAAAACACATTCAATAATCATTTATACAGTAAGAATATGAAAACATTTCCAACATTCAGATAAATATGGAAACATTTTTAACATTCAGATAAATATTGAAATATTACCAACATTCAGAGGAGATGGTGGAAATGTCCCAACAATCAAATGAATATGGAAACAATTCCAACATTTAGGTGAGTATGGAAACTTTTCAACATTCAGAGAAGATGATGGAAATGTCCTAAGAATCTAATAATATTAATTTTTATACAGTCGATTGTTATTTATTTTGTTTGTTAAATTTTACCCTTTTTTTGTTTGTACGAACGCACCAATTGATATTGAGTGCCACCGATTCAAAGGTATATGTTCAAATAAATAAATAAATAATCAAATGAATATGGAAACAATTCCAACATTCAGATGAGTATGGAAACAATTCGAACATCCAAATGAATATATAAACAATTCCAACATTCAAATGAATATGGGAAAATTTCCAACATTAAGACAACAAGGATATGAAGTACCTCCAACACTGAACACAATAATGGCAACACTTCCAACATTCAACTGAATATGGAAACATTTCCAACATTGAGACAAAAAATTTATGGAAACACCTGCCACATTCAAATGAATATGTAAATGTTGCTTATGTACTCGTGACAATTACATTAATAAGGTGTTGTATCTGGCAGTCTTACTTAGTGAGCCAAATTATAATCATAAATTAAGAAAATAAAATAGCCATAAGTCATGATAAACTAAAAAAACTGAGATGATACTTGAAGAGAAAAACAAAAAGAAACATAAATCTCTGAAATCTGAAATAATGTTATGATTTTAACATAAATATGATTATAGCAACAATAACAACTAATAGCATTTATATTATTATTACAATTATTTTTACTATGTGTTATGATTGGTATCATTTCATACTTAAAACAGTCTGTTCTTGACTATCTGTGAATCAAAATCATCATGCAAGTTAATAAAAATAAAACGAAATTTAATGCAGTGGCTGTTCCAGCAGGTGGTTAGGGCTCTTCCATCTATGAGAGCTTCCCCACCTGCAGGAACCACAATTTTTTAACAAATTCAACTGCATGAATGAGAGTGTATATGATGTTTGTAAGTTTGAAATTAGTATCAAATTATAAATGGAAATTTAAAAAATAATAGCAACTAGAATGGTGCTAGTAATGGAAGTACTGCAACATAAAAGAAAACAAAAGATTAAGAAAAAAAACTGAACGAAAAGAGATGAAAATTTCTTAGCATAGGATCTTTCAATAGCACAGTACACTACAGCATAAACACAAAGCCTCTGTTACCTCATTATTCTACTCTGGATTGGATTGGATTGGATTTATTCAGTGTAAAAACCAAGAATAGCCCACGAAATTCTAAAAGTAAAGACTTATTTCCAGTGGGGTCCTTCTGGTGGTGATTGGGTAGTACACCGGGAGACAATCCCCTACTCTTTTCCGAAGAGTGTACTGCATTCTTTAATGTGCACATGGGCCATAAAGCACACGGGACCAACGGCTTAAAGGTCTCATCCGAAAGACGGTGCGCTATTGTAACTTGCATTTCAGCCCTCTAGCTGAAACACAAGGAGAGGCAGCGATGAGAATTGAACCGGGGACATAGAGATCTCCACGGTTTAGCACACACACAGTGACTACCACCAGATTAGCCGACTGAGCTAAGCTGCTCTCTCACTCTGGAACAAGAGCAAGCTAAATACTGTACACAAACAGTACAGTATATATTCATATGCAATTTTACACAATTTTCTTTTCCTCATATTTTATCTAATTACGCAACAAAAACAAAATGTGATGTGCGAACAAGACCGAACTTGCAACAGTGCAACACTATGAGTGATGTTTTTTTATTTTTTTTCATTATTCATGACAGAAAAATTTAGACATCGGGCCTATGTAACTATGCAGAGGCCTCGAGTTATATTTCCGTAAATTATCCGTACGAGAAAAAATTGAAACAACATTTCTAGTGCATAATTACAATACGTATTAACTTTGGTGTTATATAGTTTTTGAATTCAATGATAGCGGGCATACTGTACTTAATACAATTCTGACATATCCAGTGCTCTGTGCTATTGCTACACTATATGTGTATAAATTCCTTTCCTATTCTGTATATATTTTTAAAAATTTAAGTACCCATTGAATTGATCGCCTTTCGACCACAGGTCACGTTTCAACGTAACTAGTCTACGGTCCTGAACCATCACTGTGCTGTGAAGAAGACAATTGTGAACATGGTTAAAAACATAACAGCAACAACAATACAATCAGTTACATACACTCTGATGAAAAATCTTGGATCAGTTCCTGTTAATATTTTTGGTGCCTTACGTCTAAAAACTTACTTTTGAGATTTTCATCTGAAATATAAATATCATTTTCATTGTTTGCACATTGTGAAAATTGTAATTGTGAAAAACACATACTAAAGTTACTATTGTCTGTGATATTGTATTTCCAACTAATCTGGGGGTTTCAGATTGCATATCTCTAAACTCTATTTATTAATTTTAAACTGAAATATACAAAATCAAATTCAAATGTGTATATATAAGTTTCAATGCAGGCTTTTGTAATGTTATTCAACACATTCCCGGGCAGTCTCTTGCTGTCAGAAACATCTAATCGCAGGATTTGAATATTCTGTCTACAAAATGAGAAACTGATTTCAGCACTCTCTTTAGGATTACTTTAATGTAAACAATGCATCCGTTTTATCCATCATGAATTAAATAAATGATGAGTTACGCACCTATACTTACCTGTACACAACACAAATGACAGCAGAACTAAAATTAAACTTCTTCACACAACACTTTCTTGTCAGTTTATGACACCTCATATTCTTTTTTAAAAATCTAAGTTTCCTTTTTTATGTTTATATTGTAATGTTTGTCTAGTGATTTTCCTGAATACTTCTACCGCGGGGACATGTTTCCTAGGATTTTCTTTGTCTCATTTATACAACTATAGTTTGACCAAATGCAAATACAACGATTAATAGGTTATATTTATATCAAGGAACATGGTATTTCCAAAATGATTGCGTCAACATCACAATCATAAGCTAAACAATAGGATAAAGGCAAATATTCCAATCTCAATCTCAGAAAAAAATATTAACATAAATTTCTGTTTCAACTTCCTCTACTATAAATAGAAATGCTGATGTATCCAAGCCCACAACAAACTTTGAGCATATTCTGATTATTATTCTTACATAAAAGGATTGTATTGTCTATTGAAAGATTCATGTGTTCATTATATCTTTGTAATTCTACCGCCAGATTTCTGAGACGGAAAGAGACTTACTGTAATTATATACTGAAATAGATTACTGTCAACGATATAACAGGAAGTTCTTGAAAGTACTCATATAATCTCCATTACCTTGATGAGTATGCATTTTAATATCTACAATAAATACTCAAACCAACCACTATTAGTAAATAATGAAAGTATACACTAAAAACATAAAATGTACTTGCTATAGTATATAGTATACAGTAGTTTTTATACATTTTGTGAGAGCAAAAGCAGTGCAACTAACATATTACATCAGAGCATTATAAAAACAACCTAAAATTCATTTAGGAAAATGGGCCACGGACTGGCAATATTTTTACTGCCTTACGGAAATCCACAGCAGACACACACAAGATTCTCTATATAAGCTAAGATTCGTTATGAGAGGAAGACAGGAAAAAAATCCTGTTACAGTACTGGCAGAAATTGAGCCCATAACTGTGGGAATGGAAGTCAAGTACCTTTTAACCAAAAAACTACAACTTCGGTCTAAGAAAATCTCTTGTCCTATAAACAGAGCATTTATTTTTAATTAATTTTTTTAAATAGGAGAATGTGCTCACCCACTTTTCTCTGACTAAAAAAATAAGCCACCTGGATACTGAATGCTATGCTCAATGAATTTCCCCAGTTTTTTCTGGGTTGTTTTGTCTTGTGAAAGTAAAGGCCAGACTTAGCCAAGGGTGAAAGAATGATTGAGGAATGATCAATAAATCATGTGGTAAAAATGCAAAAGATGTTCTTCTGTAAACATGTCATTTTCAAAACACTATTCTTAATTTATAAAGAAAAATGTCAAGTTTTAATATACCTATTGGTAGTGATTGATTCTGTGTCTTTATCAACATCTTCGATATAAACCTGCACTGGAGCATTATTTTCTAAGTCGCATTCTATGTCTGTATTCTCACCATAATCTTCATATTGCTCCTCGTCATCCGTGAAGGATTTAGTAATACTGTCAAAATCAGTTCTGATTTGGAAAAAAAAAAAGAAAAAAGAAAAGTATTCCATTAGTTTATTAAACACAAGACCTTCAATCTGATAGCCTTCAAAAAATATCAAACAAATTATATAAATCTGATGAAAAACATTCATTTTATCGTAACATTTTTGTTGGCACCATTCATGTAAAATCATTTAAAAAAAAAATTAGATTTGTATAACGCATAATTGTTGGTCTTGTTTTTCCATTGTAATTGGATCGCTGTGACCAACCCAAGTATTTGAGAGAGGTTGGGGTAGCGGTTGTGGTTGTCAATCAAGATTAAAAATGTATACAGTAATTAAAGATGTACTGTCCCTTGCAAAATACAAAAAAAAATCATAATCATTTTTTAAATTTACTTACCCATTTTGAAGTAACATAAAAATTATCAACTTGAACATAGAAATTAGTGTATTTAAAAAATGCTTACCCATAAAAACCATCATTTTACAGCGAAAAAATGATAGAAACACTTTCAGTCACTGAAAGTGTTTTATTATCTTTATTACAATTATCCAGTTAAAAAATCAGGGAACACATTTTTTTAATTAAATAATTTATATGCTCAAGTTAATAATTTGTATGTGACTGCAAAATGAGCAAGTTAATTTAAAAATTATTTTTTTATGATTTTGGTCATTTTCAAGGGACAGTACATCTTTAAAAATATTCATATGAAAATGGAAAATTCTTGTATATCCTACTGTTGTGACGATGGCAAAGTTATTCAATTTTCAATATACTGTATAATATAAATCAAGTGAACTTTATTTGTGCTTACGTATTAATTAATCAAAATAATACATAATCAATAACATTATATTAAAAGTTAATTAATGCTAAAAATAATGGTAAACCTGATTTCTCAAATTTTAGGAAATGCAAAACTACACATATTGGTTGCTAAAAATATCTAAATTTCCATAACTGAAATCATTGTACAAATTCATGGTGCAAAGGAGGGTGTAATCAAAATACAGTAGCTGGCATATCTTAGGGCTGAACTCCTTTCAATTAATTCACTTGATGTCACAATGTGTATGGCTGATGTCATGTCGTTCACACCTAATTTAACACCTTCTTTTACTCTTTTCATCTCTTCATTCATGAGAGACAATCTTGATTTGTGCAATTCAAATGGAAAACTAATGTAAACCATTTGAAAAAGAAAAACAGACAGACATTCCTAATTGCAACACAAACATTGAATAACAAGTTTAAATTCGAAAGAATTTTTAAAGTGAACATTTTTCAGACAGCTGAATTATCAATTTCTAGTAAAACAATCCCCTTCACTGATGATGATTCATTGGGAGCCTCCAAATGGTATTGATCACAAGTTACTGTAGTGTGAAAAAAGGGCCATGTGGTCCATCATCCCTCTGAGAATATGGACCATGCCAGTACCTCAGCCCACCATGGTTGAGGTTGAGGCAAAAAAAATAGGTTATGTCACCTCTAGATGCCCGAAAATGGAATTCTCAGGTACATTGTCTCTCTCTGGCATAAAAATATTTTTCATTAATTTTTTCCTGATATATTATGACTCCCAACAGCTGGTCCAGACGGTGCCCTCGATGTCTAGGCCTAAGCCCAGCCTCCCCAAATGCTGATGCCACCCCTAGATTTATATTACTTAATTGGTGATAATTATATATCATTGTCCTGATGACATGAAACTCCAAACCATTTGAACTAGCACTACGATGTTTATTAATGTAGAATACATTTCTAAAGAAAGGCAGCTGTGCTAATTTAATTCAAGCAGCACTTAGTGAAAAAAGAAGTCATGTTTGATGTGGCACTAATATTTAAAAGCAGAACTTACTTGAGAGAAGCTTATGAGTTCAGTTATGTTAGTATATGAAAGTTGACAAGCATTTACCTTAGATGGCCATTTGCGAACGCGCTATCCTCATCGTCACCATCTACAGAATAACCAGTGCCCTCGCTCAGAAATGGACTTGCAGCTATGTTCTCTTCGCTCATGTCTGTCATAACGCTATCGTCATATTCATTATATGTACTTGCAGTTGAATTCTGTAAAACAAAAAAATTTGCAACCCTATGAAAAATGTCATTTGGAACCCAACAACTGATCTATGATCTTTGGAAAAAACATACATGAAATACAATATAATAAATATTAATACAAATATATAATGACTTACATAATTGAGACATTTGAATTACTGCTTATAAAAAGATTATAATTAAAATTTAAAAAGTGAAACCCTGGATAAATCTTTATTTCTAATGTGGTCTAGTGTTATTGGTGATTTTGTTGCGGCCCACCAATTAATAAGGGCTACAAAACCCTTGATTTCTACGGCCAAACACTGATCATACTGTATGTAAAAAGTGATATTAAAATGTACAGTAGTATAAGAATAGGTATAAAAGCAGTGTATTGCTTTGCAGTCAGTGCAGTTTTTTGGAAGCATATTGCAAATATCAAAGTTTTGGTAGTACAACTCTCAGTGTTAAATCCAAAATTCACTTTCGACCTTCGACCGACTTTTATGCCCACCCCTGTGTTAGGTAAACCAAAAATACATACTACTGTACTGTATATGTGATGTTTCATATAGTCTTATCTTGTTTCGTAAAGAGAATTGATACACTCTTATATATGATCATAAAAACCAGATGCAAACATTTGAGCTTCACTTGAAAGATACTACTATACTGTATGTCAGTTATAAAATCTAGAAAGACACTTTATCCATACAAGATCATCTCTTTTTACCCTGAATTAGTGGGTGCCTGGGTAGGTTCAAATGACAACAAGCCTATTTGTAGCTGTGCATTATGCTCAAGGGAGCTCAGTATGTGTTCTATACTGTTTGATCCAATGACCAAGGGTAATAACATGGAAAAACATTCTTGAAATTACCTTGCCCATTTTGAAGTAACATAATAATTATAAACTTGGAACATAAAAATTAATGTATTTAAAAAATGTTTACCCACCGTTTTATAGCAAAAAATGATAGCAATACTTCCAGCCACAGTAAGTGTTTTATTATCTTTATTATAAGGATCCAGTTAAAAAAATCAGGATACACATTTTTTTTAAATTAAATAATTTCTATGCTCAATTTGTATGTTACTACATAATAAGCAAGTAAATTTAATTTTTTTTTATTTTTTTATGATTATGTCATTTTTAAGGGACAATACATCTTTAATCACAACACATTAAATTGTCACTAATAATAATAATGATAATAATAATAATAATAATAATAATAGTAAATACTATTATAGTGTTATGTTATAGCAGAATATACAATATTTCAGTTTGCTTTTACACAAAATTATTACAATTAAATAATATATAATACTCAAAAAACTGATACATGTTTGCCTATTCGAGAAATACCATCATTATGGAAAGGCATTATGTATATTTATACATTGTATTATATCATTATATTATAGTAAAAAGACCGACTTCCATATTAAATTTCATACTGAATCATGCTGACCAAAATATTCCGCTGCATAATTAATTATTAGTATCAATACACAGTAGATGCTACCATTCTTAAAAAATACACACCATGTGTTTGTTGAAAAATTCACATGAAAAGGGAGGGTTTACAAAGATGACTCAGTCAAAGACATATAGAGCAACTCCTATTAACATATGATATGAAAATATTCATAACCATCTGTTTGTATAGTTACTGTATTCAGATATTTCACATTTATCTTTAGTTGGTACAGTACAGTACAATAGACTATGGCAGAAAAATTTTCCATGGTTTCACCATAAATATAACTGGTGAAGACACTCACACAAGTCTTAGTTCTTTCAGGTTAATTTAATTAGTATTGTAATCGATTTTACCAGTGAGAACACACCAACTTCAGAGAATGGAATATTCAGTGACTACCACAAAATGAATCCTATTTCTACCAGAAAAGGGAAATGACAAGAGTAGAGTACGGTATAAAGACTGTCATTTCAGTATTACTGTCTGTAGGCCTATATTTCACCACTTCATGTCTTTTAAAACCTAAACTACCTTTGAAGAACAACAGAATATTATAAAAATCTATACTTAAAATTTACCTTTACAGAATAAAAATAATGTAATATACCAAAATTAATGAATATCTATAGTTATAGGGCAGAGAAATTGAGAGAAATCGATGCAAGAATCAATCATGGTTGAAAATGTCGTGCCTCTGGCAGCCCAGTAAATCTGAGCTTTGCACCATTTTATTTACCTTGCCATTAGTGTGATTATCTGATGGCAGGTACTATTTCTCATTTCACTAAATAAACAATTGTTTAATTTGACATATTATCCAATATTATTCTGTAAGGCTACTGTACTATAAAACTGACCACTCCCAAGATTCTCTGACTGTGAATAATGCAGACTGAGCTAGATTGCCTAATGCAACGAGGAAGGTACTAACATTTATAGTACTACTACTATTAGTACACTATTATTAGTATCATTGGAAATTTGATTTTCTGTGTTTTACCTGCCAATTTAAAAGGTGTAAAAGTAGCAGGTTGGGCAGAACATGATTCTATTTTTGACAAAATAGTCCATGTCCACACAATGTTGGTTCCACTTTCATATTCAGACAAACAATATCTGTACTTAAACTTATATTTTGGAGTTTTTTTTTGGTTTTTTTTTCCAGAATTGTAGTGTACTGGACAATTTGAACTGTGCGTCAGAATATTTCCTCAATATGTTCATTTTGCAGACTGAAAGAGGTTGAAGAATTATCACAGCTTATCGCCCCTTGGGGATTGGGCATTCACTGATTGCCCAGACGCATTCAGTTATGCAACAATAGAGACAATCAGCGACCTTAAACAGGTCACGCTTTCACTGTAGAATGTTCACCTAGTGTGCTAAAAGTTGACTAAATGTGCTGCTATTCAAAAGATTTATCCATCAGTGTAAAAGTATAAGAAAAATGATTGTGTAAACCCAACAAAAAAAGCAAAAAGGTAGTAAGACTGGTGGAAGAAGATATTTACTGTACAACCTTAAACTGGTCACATAGATTTCACTGTAAAATGTTCACCTACAGTAGTGTGCTAAAAGTTGTCTAATTGTGCTGCTATTCAAAAGGTTTATCCATCAGTGTAAAAGTATAAGAAAAATGATTGTGTAATACCCGATTCACACATGAAATTAAATTTAACAAAAAGTAACAAATTGTAACCGAGCGATCTCCCGAATTATTCCTACTGAGATAAAAAGCATTCACACGCGTCTGTAAGGTAATGTTAAGGTCGTATAAAATTTACTCAGTGTTTATTCAATGAATCATTTTTCCCCTACTGCGATATAGCTCTAGCCTAGGCCTAATTGAGATCCCCTGTCACAGATGGACTGTTGAACTCACCATCACTGTAAACATTCGAAGCAATCAATGCCCTTAACAACTGCTGTAAACTACTGTACTACTACTACTAAACTAGGCATAACTTCCAACGTTTCTGTCGACTCTTGATAGTACTAGTAATAGTACTAACACCATCACAATGTTCATTTTATGTATATCTTCTTCTTCTACCATTACTAATTAACATCAATAACAAGGGTAATGCATTCATCATTGAGAAAAACTAGACCTATCTATTTCTAGTGGATCAGAATCGTCTGAAGAAGGAAGAAAATTCAAAGAACCCCGTGAAACACAGTAGATTGTTGTTGTGTTGAAATCCCTGCGCATGCGCAGATCCATCCATGCTACATCTCAGGAGCATTTCGTGGTGAGACCTCACATGATTATTGGTATACAAGATCAGATATTTATAAGATATATACCTGGACAATATAAAAACCACAATGGACCATACCATTGTTTAAGTGGGATGGACAAAGTTGGGTGGGCTTGTTTTTATTACTTTTATATGAATTGTCAGTTTCATATTTTTTTTGTTTGTTTATTGTAGGATATTTGTTTCTTGTAAACAGTAAATCCAACGTAGTTAACTTTTTTTATGTATCTTTTGATTGTTTTGATTCTTTTTTAGATGCACCATCAACGTGAGTTGTGCCACTGTGACAAATGTGATTCCAAATAAAAACAAACTAAATTACCATATAAAGTTAACAGGTTAGTACATTTCATCCTGTCAAAATTGACTTATAAATTCTGAATCTTTTGTTTTCACAAAATTTCATTAAGTTAACTTTGCTATTCTATTTCTATGTGTATACTCGTCAGTCTATGCAACATCTGGACAAGGGGTAATACTTCTGTATATATATTATGCTATTTTGTAAATCCTACAAAGGTATTTTGGGGACAATGATATTAGCATCATTCAAACGTGAAGCTGTCTCTTATACACATTGCGCAGATCCATCCATGCTACAAACGAGGCTGGTAAAGATTACCGAGACGTTCCGAGATTTTACAAGGATATTACACGGAGGTTCTTTCACACGTGCCTTAAAATGTTACTTTTGGTTACATTTGGTAAGATTTTTGTACGTGTGAATCGGGTAAGACCCAACAAAAAAGCAAAAAGAAAAGGCAGTAAGACTGGTAGAAGAAGATATTTACTGTACAACTAAAGTTTAAAAGAAATTAATTTAATAATCTGATGATACTCCTGATACTTAACTAATGGTTTCTTTTTTAATCTTACCTCTTCTTCACTGTCAATTTTGCTCATTATTTTTTTATCTCTTTTTAATGGTGGTAGCCTGTAGTCAGGAGTTATAAACAAAACTGAAGTTCAAACACCTTAGAATAAATCCCTTTTCCTGTTACTGTTGGAGAGCAGGCCTACTTAACATCGGAAGGAAACTGGTACACTAATAACTAACTCAACAAGCTTGTTGTGCGAGGCCTATTGTAGGGTCGTAACCTTTTGAGGTTTTCTAACAATACAATGTAAACAGATCTGTATGGAATGTGCTTACTCATGCATATCAACAATTCATTAACACCCACTGTTATGTTTACATTATGTGTCAAGCAAGCTTGCTCACTAACTGTTGATAATTGCTTGTACTTATTTTCAAAACTATCTCACAAAAAACAGG